TTTCCTTTAACTTTCCTCTTGTCCCACGATCATGCTCAGCCTTCATTTGGGTTTCAGTAATTCCACTCGATTACATTGCCTTTGATCAAGCCCTACCAGGCCCCTTATACCGTCCTTTTCACTGATATGGATCACTTGTTGTTCCCTTGTCCCTGGGTTGGTTAACACCACTTCCTTACCCCATCTCCCCCTCTCCCGTGTCCTGCCGGAACCATCGGCCCCATTGTTTTCTCCTCCATCTTGTTTATCTAGCCTGTCTTATCTAGATAGGCCTGCAGGGATAATAATATGCACAAAAACAAAACAGCAAAACAAATCAACAAAAGAAAACGAAACAACAACAACAAAAATCCAATGACAAAAAGAAAAGCCTATAAATAGTTCAAGGTCTGTTTGTTGACCTTTAGGCTTGTTTTTTCAGTCGAATCTGATGGGCTGCCATGCCCTGGCCCCAAAGTCTATTTTTGGTATGCTCTCAGGACTTCCTTGCTCTGCTCCCCTAGCTGTTCTGTTGCATGCCCTTAGTGTTTTGCCTTGGTGCGGTGGGGTCAGATCGGGCACAATTCCTGCACTGTATCTCCAGTGTTGTCCGCTGTAGGTCTTTGGGTCAGTGAGGATGTCATGTTTCATAGTGGGTCCGGCCATGTGCTCCTCCATTGGCTGCTCTGAGCAGGATATCATCCCCAAGGCCTGTTGGGCCAGGATGTTCTCCACCCTCTCTTCATCCTGGTTCATTTGCTCCTGCGTGCTCTGATCAGACATGTCCCTCTCCTTGAGCTTCAGTGCTGTCCTCTGAAGTAAATTCTTCTGCAGGGAGGGGCAGCTGTCCATGTAGTTGGGATTGGGCCCGGCCCCTCAGACCTCAAATAGAGGTAATTTAGCTTCTTCCTTCCTAATTGCCTCGTTGCTGTGGCTAAGACTTGCAGCACACTGTTGAATGGCAGTGGTGAAAATGGGCGTCCATGACTTCTTTTTGATTTTATGGGAAAGCTTTCCATCTTTCTCCATTTAGTGTTGTGTGAGCTGTGGATTTTTCATAGATGCACTTTTCATATTGAGGGATTTCCCTTCTATTTCTCGTGGTTGCGTGTTTCTAACATGATAGGCGATTGGATTGTGCCCATGCCTTTTCTCATTGTGATGATCACTTGGCTTCTTTTCCTTTGTTATGTTGATGTGATGTACAACAATAGTGACTTTTATAATGTTAAACTACCCTTGTGTTCCTGCAATAAATCCACTTGGTTATGGCATATAATCCCCTTTCCTTTTTTCTGCATGCAACAAATTCTCTGTGTTTGGGGGGTATTAATTTAGCCTTCACTTTGGAAGGTTAGTTTAGCTGGACATACAATTTCTTGGTTAACAGTTTGGTTTCTTCTCTCTCTCCTTTAGCCCTTGGTTGTTCTCAGTCTGCTGCTGCTTGTTTTAGATGGGGATTTAGCTCCTCTGGATGTGATGGCTTTACTTTCGTGATTTTCTCTCTACTATTGGCTTTGAAGTTTGACCGAAATTGTCTCTCTGCATTTATTCTCCCTGCCGTTTTTTACTTATTTGAATTTCTTCTCCTTGCTTCAGCCTTCTGGATAGGCATTGTCTTAGTGCTGTTGTGACATGACTATCACAGCTGGTTTTCTGTAATGAACAATCACTTATTCTCTCACTGTGGGAGGTGGTAGTGGTGGTTGAGTTGGTTCCCAGCCATAGCACCCTGTGTGCACCAGAACGAAGCACACCTCGTCCTGCACTACCCTGTTATGTTTGAGCCATTTTTGCAGCAATGGGTGTGAAACCATCTTCTTGAGAATCTCTTTTTCACTGCCCCTCTACTTTACCAGGGACTGGTCTCTCCTGATCACATGTCCAAAGTATGTGAAATGAAGTTTCACCATCCTTGCTATTAAGAAGCATTCTGGTTGTACTTCTTTCGAGACAGATGTTTGTCTTTTGGCAGTCCATGGTACTTTGAATATTCTCCACCAGCACCATCATTAAAATGCATTGTTTGGTCTTCTTGGGGAGTTAGAAGTCAGAATTCGGGGTGCTGACTCCAGGAAAAGATTATTTTCAGAGAGAGAAATCTCTGTCACAACAACTTTAGCATCCTCCTCCACCTTGTGGGCGGTTTCCGTGAGACATCTGTCTTTTCCCCATTTGTGCTCGCTTGCTTCTGTGTCTTATCAGTTCCTTTTACCACTCAGAAATGAAATGATAAGTTGGAATTACAACCTATTGGATGTGGTCTCATTAAGCGAACAGTCAAAAACCCAGTGTTAGGATTTGTAACATATGCTTTGGGGACATAATTCAATCATACAAGGTAGCTTTGTGTTGTTGTTTTAAGTCAGGTTTGGGACAGTCACAGTTCTGTTGCCTTACTGAGAGTCTGTTTGTGGATTCATTGTTCATCCTGTGCTTTAACTTCTCCTTTATTTCTTTGTACATGATTATAGTTGCTTTGAACATACTGATGAGAATTGCTCTTTTGGAGACTGTGCATGTTAATTTTGACCTTTGGTAGGAGACAGGTTTGATTGACTGCTTTTTCTCCTGAATTTGTGTCATCTGCTTGTATTCGCTTGTCTTGAAATGGTGTAGTCAGCTTCGTCTCTGGATCCTGATTTCTTCCTGAGATTGAGGGAAGGGGTGTTGCTAGCCTCGTGTTTTGTTTATTTTGTCTGTATAGTAATTTTCTTGGGCTAAATCTCTGGCCTCTTTTCCCCCTGTGCTTCTGGTATCTCTGTTCAGTTTTTATCTTTAATTCTTGTTTTTAGGTTGAGTCCCATGGCTCCTAGGGTTGGCTCTTTTTTCTTCAGGATCTTAGTACTGGTCTGGTGATCAGACAAACCTCTTGAGTCAGTCATCAGGCCCTATTTTCTGCTGAGGGAAGGACACGTGCCAGGCCCCGGCAGCAAGCCTGGCTCTCCCAGCTTTTCCTGTCTGCTGGGGCCTTTCTCATCTCTTTCTTCCCCTCCCAGAGTGCCCTGGACTCGGGCACTGCTACCACTACAAAATGAGTCAGCCCCTGTGAGCCCACGGCTAGACCTCAAGGGTGCTCTGCCCATCTCGGCAGAATCGTCCAGCTCCCAGATCTGGGGGCGGGGATGAGGATAGACTTGCACGATCTCGGGCTGGAGTCCCCAGGTTTTCGAGCATCCGTGCTTAGACAGTGGGACTGAATTCCTGAGCGCAGAAATGGTAACCCTTAAGAATGGGGCCCAGCTACTCTCCAGACATTTTGTTATTAGTTAGAAAAGGCGTACCTGTCACAGACTGTTTACCATCCGTATATTATTCCAAATGATCTTTAAAATTCATTTCACATGTTCTAAGGGAAATGCTACTGGATTTTGATGGGAATCCAGTTTGTCGTACTAATTCATGATCGTTTTTTTAAATTAATTTTAATAAAGAAAATGGTCACTCTTAAAAAAAATATTATTTTAGGAATGCCCGGATGATTTAATACTAGGAAATATATTCATTTAGCCAACGTTTCATGTAATATCCCAGTACCATGTGCTCAATCCATGCTGACCAATCCCTGAGTGAATCACAGCAGTCACTCAATTACAAATTTTTTTTTTTTTTTAAACAAAAGCTTGTAGTAAACTGCTGCCCCGCACCACCAAGGTTGTTTGGTACATTTTACATGTTCTAGCCACGTCTGTGAAAGCTGGAGTAAATGCAAAGCAACAGATACTGAAAGTTGGTTATAAAATGTTTAGTTCCCAGGAGATCCAAAGAATGAACTGAAAAGTAACCTGAATAGGTAGGGTAAAGAATAAATGGCAACTGTCTGTTGTTTAAGAGGGTGAGGAGGGTGGATCTTCTAATAGCAGTACAGAGGACCCTGAAATGCCCTTAGGGCATAGGAGTCTGGTAACAGAAATAGGAAAACTAGGTATAGTTGACGGTGCAAAGAGAAGAAACTGCCAGTGAGTGGCATGGTACACTCTGGGGTGGGACGAGGGCACGGGAGTTGTGGAGCACTACCTCAGAGCCCTTCTGGCAGGGAGCCCTGTACCATGTCTGTGGGAGGGGTGGTGTTACCTGGCCTTGTCTCTCGGTAGGAGGAGGAGGAGGAGCAGCCACAGCCTGCGCAGCCGCCCACCCTTCCTGTGGTGGAGGAGAAGAAGAAGATTCCAGATCCAGACAGCGATGACGTCTCTGAGGTGGATGCCCGGCACATCATTGAGTAAGGGGTCCTTCCACGTAGTCCCCTTCAGCAGCAAGTGGCCCTGGCAGCAGCAGCCAACCAAACACCAGACCCATGGCCACAGATTCCGTGGATCTGGTGTTTGGTTCCGAGCCAATTCTGACTCTCAGCCACCCTACCAAGGTCCCTAAATTGATGTCTACTGAAACAGGCCTGCCACATCTTTCTCCCACGAGTGGGGGATGGGTTTAAGCATCCCTACTGTGCTCCCAGAGCTGCGGCAAAAGCTAACAGGCAGTTTATTTACTTAAAATTTAATTTTAAAGAAAATCAGAATTTCCGATAGAGGACACATTCCCACTACTCACCAAAGGCTTCTGAGGCCCAGGTGTGTGGACATCAGCTGGGCATCCCGCCAGCCTGGGCATTCACGAGCACACCGTGGAGGCGTGTTTTGCTTCGTGAACTTTTTGTTGCTGTTCTGGGTAACAGTGGACCGAGCACACTGGTCTGCCACAGCAATTCCTGCAGTTAGGTTGGTGACCTTGGTTGCAATGTCCACAGGGTGTCCCTGCTCTCCCCGTGCCGTGTCATTTCCTATGGGTGCCTTGTCCTGAGCACCTGGACAAGGTCTGTGTGACTTGGCAGAGCATCGGCCTCCCTCTCTCAGACCTGAGTGTCCATTGCCCGGCTTGGCTCTGCTTTGTCTATTCAGTCCTCTGCTGGGGACAGTGGGAAGGCCATCGCACATCTCTGGCGATTGCAACGTGTGAGCTTTAGCGGCACTTTTAAAGGGAGAGGGCGCCAGTTCGGAGCACAAGACTCTTTAGCGTGTGTGTTTCCGTTTGAGTCAGGTTGTCTTTGCAGGCAGGGTGGGCCAGAGATAGTCTCTTCCTGGGAGGTCACAGAGCCACCACTCCTGTAGTGTGTAGGCAGAGCAAGCCCCTTAGAAGTCCACTCTCAGGCCTCACTGGGATTGCACTTAGCCACCATCCCTATTGTCAGACTGTCCAGTTGTCTGTCACAGTCTTTTCCGGCTCAGGCCCGAGGGCAGTGGCCAAAAGCCCCGCTGCACAGTGGCTGGTGCTGAGAGCAGGTGGTCATTGGCCAGCTATGTGCCCTCAACTGCATTTCTCATCTTCCAGGAATGCCAAGCAAGATGTTGACGATGAATACGGCGTGTCCCAGGCCCTTGCTCGTGGCCTGCAGTCCTACTACGCTGTGGCCCATGCTGTCACTGAGAGAGTGGATAAGCAGTCAGCGCTGATGGTCAACGGTGTCCTCAAGCAGTACCAGGTGAGGGAGGGGCAAGAGCTGGCCACATCCTTACGGCAGTCTTGATGGGGGGCTGATGGTTAGACAGATTCACGTTCACCTTCCCTCCTTTGTCTCCTGCACCTCGGTTCCCATCTCTAAAGCTGTTAGATGAGCCAAGAGGATGCTGTCAAACCGCAGCACATCAGCATCGCGGGTGCTGGCTGTGGGCCAGAGCAGAAGTGCCTTATGCGCCAACAAGCCCTGTGAAGTAGGCACTGTCGTCGTCGTCGTCCTTGGCAGTTTACGGGATGGGGTGGGGCGCCGTGAGGATCAGAGAGGCACTGTGTGCCTCTCAGTGTGTTCACACAGCTCCTGAGGGTTCTTGCCAGGACCGGGACCCAGCTCAGGACACGACGTGTCCTTGTTTCCTGGGACTCGGCCTGGGCATGGCTACACTGGCTTCCTGTGAAAGCTGCAGCAGCTCCGTTGGGAGGGAGAACAGCCATGATGTCTGGCCTGGGCCCTCACACAGTTCTGGTGCTGGGCCCACCGGCCCGAGTGCCTCTGGGTGCTCCTGGCTACAGCCAAAGGAGGTCACACCCAATTGTTGTTTGGGGTGCGACCCTGATTGCTGCCCTCCTCCCCATGTCCCACCTCTCAGGCCCTCCAACTCCGGAGGAGAAATACTGTTGTAACCATGGAAACTTCCAAAGGTCAGTGTGGTCCAAACCGTGGCCTAAGCTCCCTTCCTCAGTCTCCCGAGCATTTTGAAGTTTTCCTTCATAAAAGATTATATTCTACTTAAGAGCCATCTGTCCTTTAATGCTTGCAGTTCAGAAAGGCTACAAGCTCACAAAGGCCCCGGTTATTCTGTAGTGTGAGACTTGGATTCTCTGTAACCCCTCAGACAGGCAAATAAACTAAACCTGCTGCTGTCCAGTGGGTTCCAACTCTTGACCCGTGTGCGCAGCCTCCTAGACTTTCCTTGGCTGGACGCCTGACAGAAGCCAGATTGCCAGGCCTCCTGTTGTGCCGCCCAGTGGGCTGGACCAGCCAACCTTTAGTTATCAGCTGCCCGAGAACTTCTTGCACCTCCAGGATCTCTGCACCCCCCACCCCACCCACCCACCCCTACACGCACACATGCACACACGGTCTCCTGAATTGCAGTGTCGCATTGTGCAGGCAGGTGTCCTCAGGTGTTCGACATGGGGTTGTGCTGAAGCCCTGAGACATTTGGGCGCAGCACACCTGGGATTGCAGGCATGATCAGGACGAGGCTGTGTTCAAAGGGTGGGGTAGAGAGCGGTGCTGGTGATCGTGGGATGACTGTCTGAGAGTCGCCCTTGGCCCGCAGATCAAAGGCCTGGAGTGGCTGGTGTCCTTGTACAACAACAACCTGAACGGCATCCTGGCCGACGAGATGGGGCTGGGCAAGACCATCCAGACCATCGCGCTCATCACGTACCTCATGGAGCACAAGCGGATCAACGGGCCCTTCCTCATCATCGTGCCCCTCTCGTGAGTGACCCGTCCTCGGCCATGACTTCGCACAGAAGGCCATGCGTGTCCAGGCCAAGCCCCCTCCGTGGGAGGGTGGGATGGGGTTCTTGTCGACTCCCTTATGCTTCTCCTATTTCTACTTTCTGCTCAGGTGGGTTGGCTGGGAGCAGTGGGGCCCTTGCCATTCCACCCCACCCATCCCTACTTGGCCTCCCAGCTAAAGTGCGTGCGGGCACGCTGGACCTGAACCCCCAGACAGGCTCCTCCAGAGGCTCCCTCTGCCGTACACAGCCCCACTGGCCTCTTTGACTGAGATTCTCCGCTCGTCTGGGCAGCCTTCTTCCCACTCAGTGTGGACAGAGCCAGGATTTTCCTTGGTAGTTCAGGGCTGACCCATCTCCAGCCCCAAACCAACTGTTGTCCTGGGGGTTATTAGGCTCCGTGTGCAGACATGGCCTGACTTTTATCATAGTGACCCCTGACCTTGTTGGGAACTCAGCTGGAACTACTCTAGCCCCTGGTCAGTGGGGAGCTCAGTGCCTGTGCTCCAACTTGCTAGGGTAATGGCTTCATGCCTTTAGTCAGAGCTCTGGAGCCGTGTGCCCACAACTGGGGCTAGGGCTCGGACCTTCCAATGAGATGGGACCCAGGCCTGGGGGATTTCAGGATCTGCCCAGGATTTCAGTTCTTCCGTCTCCTCACCCTTCCTTTCGAGAGTGTGAGGTGGGCTGCTTGTGCTGAGAGCCCCTCCTGGTGTGGGGGGCACCCTTCTCCCTGTCCTGCATGCCTGAGCTTCAGGCATGTGCCAGAGCCCTGTCTCCTCAGCCTTCCCTGGCGGAAGTGCCCTCTGGGGTGGGCAGGCTGGCCTTCCTCCCCGTGTCTGCCGTAGTTAGACATGTGCCACCCCAGCCTCCTCTCCTTGCTTCCTGTCACCGTGAATGTCTCTGACCCCAGAGGGACCCTGTCCATCTCCCTGAATACAGCTCTCCCCAGGATGTTGTTCTGCAGCCTTTGTCCATCCTTCTCCTCTCCCGGGGGTTTCAAGTGTGTAACAAATCACATGTGTACTACATACAATTCACACCGACTCTTGGAATCTTGTATTATCCTCTTCCCCACTCCACAAAACCCCCGCTGCCACTGAGTCAACTTCCACAGATCGTGTGTAAGGATGGGGTTTGTGAGACTGAGTCTTTACCCAGCAGGTGGTCTCATCTTTCTCCTGAGGAGCGGCTGGTGCATTTGAACCCCTGACCTAGATGTTAGCAGCTGATTCCTAACTGACAGCACCAATGGGCTCCTTTTCCCAGGACAGTGGGATGAACCATGAAATTCACACTGGTGTTACACTAGTGACTGACCTGGAGACCGTCTCCAGACGGGGCCCATCTTCCCTTGGCCTTCTGCTTCCACTGTCCCGTCTCCGTGATCTCTTCCCGTCTGTGTCCTTCAGGATCGAGCTCTTTGGAGTCCTACTCAGGAGTTTGCTCGACTGCCCTTAGTTAGATTGGTCTCATTGGATGGGACAGGAATTTTAAGCAAGGTCCTCCCCCACAGGTGGCGCTGTGACGTGAGGAGGTACCGGGTCCTGACAGGCCCGCCAATAGGGCAGTGGACTGTGGGAACCTAGTGTGTGCCAGGTGTCTCCACTGTAGCCCAAGAGCTTTTTTTCAATAACTAAAAAGTATCCTTTGAGGAGGTACTTAGAAACTATGTAACTAGCCCATTTCCTATCCTATTGGCCTGACACTTGGGTGGTGGCCTTCTCAGTCATCCCCCTCCATGTGGAGCTGTAGACTCTCAGCACTGCAGGTGGCGGTTTACGTTGTGTCCCCGTTCCTCCCTCCGTCCGCCTCACCCCCCCACCCCACCTCCCCTGGTTTGGGGAGCTCTTCCCGTGGATTCCTGTGCCCTTCTGAAATGTCCTTGTCACCTGGCTGTGGTGAGTTTTTTTTTTTAGTTTGGACCTACAGAAAAGATACCAAGGGAGTTTGAGAAAGTTCCCATTTTTTCTCTCCTTTCACTTCCCTGGAGATTAACGCCCTTTCCATGGAACATTTTTCTCAGCCAAGACATCAGCCTTGGTCTGTTACTGTTAACTCGGCCAGACCTTCTTCCAGGGCCTGCTGTTTTTCCCTTGTGTCCCTTTTCTGCTCATGTCCTTTCCATCGACAGTTCTCTGGTTCTCTGCGACACTTCCACAGACGGGCCATAGTCTTGACCTGGCTGGCTGGTATTGAGTTCTGGTCAGCTATCCTTATGTAGGTTGTCCCTCCAGTCTGGGCTGGCCAGGTGTGTTTCTCTTTGCTTAGCTGTAGTCAGCTGGAAGGTCACAGAGGGTAAGATGCTTTAAAGCTGGGTGGGGGCCGTGCCTGATCTCCTCTGATGTTGCCAAGGAGAACTCTTAACGTCTCACTGCCATTGAGGCAGTTTTGATTTATAACGCCCCTATAGGACAGGGTAGAACTGCCCCAGTGGGTTTTCTGAGATTGGAACTCTATAGGAGTAGAAAGCCTGGTCTTTTCTCTTCAAAGCAGCTGGTGGTTTCAGACCATGGACTCTGTGGTTAGCAGCCCAGCTTGTAACCACTATCCTACCAGGGTTCCTTGCCACCAGGGAGAAAACCAAACCCAAATTCACTGCCAACTCATCAACGCCTCTCTAGGACAGGTGCGACTGCCCTTGTGCGTTTCCATGACTGTGACTCCAGTACATAGCCTCCTCTTTCTCACAGGGAAAGGCTGCGGGTTTCAAACTGCTGACCTTGAGGATTGAAGTCTGACATATAACCACTATGCCACCAGGGAGGAGATCAAATTGTGCATTAGCCCTACCTCCATCTTCTGTCTTTCTTTGCCACTCCTCCCACCACACTGTTTCTCTGCTGGATTCAATAAGCTATCGCAGCGGCCACACAGAACTCGTAGACACTACTCAGGACTTGGAGGTTTATTAGGAAAGTAAATGGTGATAGTTGGTTCAGGACAGCTGCTTCTCAACTGTGCCTACAGACTTACCTCTCTCTGGTTCTCGGTTTCTCAGCCCTGCGGCCTCCTGGTCTTTGTCCTGCTGTGGCAGTGTTACAAAGCTCCTTTACTCTGCCACTAAATGCCCCCAAAGGGCCTCCACTCATTCAGCTCTTCCTGAGCACTCAGCTGTTCTGCTACCGCAGCTGCTCTGCTGTACCTGGCCACCTCTGATGTCACACCTCTCTGTCTCCTGCACCAAGGAGTGTCAGGGTCTTGGACATGCTCCACTCCTGAACCTTCTTTCTTGATGGTGGCGCGATTCCCCTGCCCACTTCTGAGGTGGCTCATTTTAAACTTCCAGACTGAAAACATTCACTGCAACCGAGTCCACACTGACTCCTAGCGACCCTATGGGACGGGTTAGACCTGTCCCTGTGAGTTTCTGAGACTGTTAATGGGCATCGAAAGCCCTGTGTCTTCGCTTCAGGGGTGCTGGTGGTTTCAAACTGCCGACTTTGCAGATCACACGCAGCCCTCTGCGCCATCAGGGCTCCTCTACCCCGTCAGTCTGTTTTAAGTCGTCTGCTATAGATGTAGTGGGATGGTAAAACTGACAGACCTCCACATTAGGGACCCAGACTTGCCCTACATGAGCACCAGGCACCTTATTTACGTTATTAGCCAGATCAATTCCAACTGATAGCCACCTGATATGGCAGAGTCAAGGTGCCTCTTTGTGTGTCGGAAAGGGTGACTGTGCAGGACTACAAAGCCCCGTCTCTCTCCCACTGAACAGCCCAGTGCACAGCCCACCATGCCACCTGGCCCTCTGAGACAGGCTCGAGGACAAGCCACCTTCCCACCACACCTTGTGTGGGCTTTGGTCGCTTGGCTGAAGCAGTATACAGTTCTGCTTTCCCCCCTTTCCGCCTTGTGCTTTTTGGGGAAAGGTCACTCAGCCTGCACTCGGTGAGGATTATGGTCCACCTCCTTGAGGGAGGGCTCTTCTCTACAGGAGATCTTGTCTCTTTTCCCCCACGTACTAACGTAATTATTAGCAAGCAGTGAGTATCACGGTACCGTGGCATTGCTGTTTGTGTCGTGGCTCAGACCCTTGCAGCGTTGGCTGCCAGGAGCACTTCAGTTCACTGCCCAGTCCCTTTGGTGTGCCCCCATTACAGCAGGGGTTTAGGGCGAGCGTGTCCTATCTTCCTGTGCTAAAAGACACCCCCGGCTCATCTTGGTTCCTCTAGCTGGCAGTATACTTCTCAGAGTTAAGATGTGGGAATGAGGTGTGGTCACCGCTCAGGGCCTTCTCTGCAGAGAGGAGCGTGTGGGTATGCAAACCCACGTGTACATCCACCCGTGACCTGAATTTTTGTCTGGCTGGCTGTCCACATTAGTTGCTACGGTCTGATTTTGGTGACCTTGTTCAGTGGTGGCGCTGGGATTTCCTGAGTTGTCACCGTTCTGGCTGCTGACCACCAGCTCCTGCTCCCTTAGCGCTGAGAGGGGGATTGAACCACTCACCTCACTTGTTAGGCTTGGCTGAGCACTGGACCACCAGAGCGCCTTCTATATTAAGTTAAAACCCACATTCTGACTCACGTGGACCCTGTAGGGCAGGGTGAAATCTTTACCGGAGCAGACTGCCTCGGCTTTCTCCCACGGGCTGGTTCAAACTGCTGGCCCCAACACTTCCTTGACTGCACCACCAGGTTCCCTGTAGTGGGCTAGCATGCTTCAAGGCCGATGCCTCCGTTAAGGCTGGAATCTAGCCACGCACCGCTCTTCCGGTGTCGGTACGCCATGTTCTTCCTCAGCGGGATGCCTGGCACAGCCCCCTCCATCCCAGGATGCCTGTGCAGACTGCTGTCACGCTAGGGTCCAGGGCGTGTGGGTTTGTCTGCAGCTTCACCATCTCCAGGCCACACGCCATTTTCAAAGGAAGTGAGGTCTGATCCTGCTCCCTCCTCCGTCCAACCCAGCCTCTGGACCTCCGTCTCTCGCTGGCCCAGCACGGCAGCTCCTCGGCCAGAGGAGCTCCTCCAACCTACCTGCCCCATAGTCTCTGCCTCCTCAGCCTCCCAGCTCTCCAGCCGCAGGCCCTTGGCTTCTCTCCCTGGAGCCTGGGTCCCCACCAGCCACCCTGAGCTGCCCCACCAGGGAAGGGAAGGGACCCTGTGTTTACACAGCATAGCAGCTGGAGTGCTGCCGCTCTCAAGGGTGTTAACAGGAAGTTGTCCTCGGTGACTCCTGGCCTCGCCCTGCTAGCCCCTCGTGCAATCTGGCCATCTCAGGATGGGTGCCCCCTCCTCTCTGCCCCTTAGAGAGCTTTATTAACTTTTGCCACAGCCGACTGAGCTGGCCTTGTCACAGTCCACCTGGCTGGCCGAGGCCGCAGGGAGACCTGATAGTGGGCGTGTGGAGCTAAGGTGAGCTCAGCATGGCTTGTTGTGGGGAGGATCTGGATGAGGCCTGAGCCAGATTTCTGAGAGGCCTCCACCCCACTGACTCAGGTGTGTGCTAGCCCAAGCACCATTCTTACCAAATCCACCCACCATGAACCTTGGGGCTCCAGCCCCCTTCTTGCCTGCACGCCACCCACACCACATCCCACACTCCTAAGCCACCACCCTCTGCCACTGTGTGGTGCACCCCAGTGTGCACCCCAGCCCAGCTGGTCTCCCCTGCTCACTCTGGGCACATTGGTCAGCGCGCCTCAGTGCCTGCGTTTTTGTCCTGAGGAAACAGAAAGGAGCTTTAGCCCCTCCCTCACTCGCTCCTCGGTCTCTGTGACCCAGTGGTTAACCTGCAGTGAGGACCTGGGTTTGGTGGTCACAGCGTGTTCTCAAGCTGGTGACAGGGCCAGTCTCAAAAGCCTCTCCCTGGGTCTGACCCTGTCCAGCTGGCTGCCCCTGCTCCAGTCAGTCCAGGCGCCCCCCCTCAGCCTACAAACACGATCGCTGGTCCCACTTCTTCACCTCTGTGTGCCCTGACACCCCCTTGGTACCTCCTCCAAATCCCACAGCCCTGCTGAGGCAGGGCTCCCCGGGTCCTCGCTGGCTCTCCTTGTGTGCTGCTGCCCAGGGGGACAGCCCACCCTCCTGCCTGCCCGGAAGTGGCTGTGGCTTCTCAGCTGGCAGTGCTGCTCCCCGGCCGGCTGTTGGTGAGTGCGGAGAACTCACTATCCCGTCCTTGTTTCCACCAGGACGCTATCAAACTGGGCGTATGAATTTGACAAGTGGGCTCCCTCTGTGGTGAAGGTGTCCTACAAGGTAGGTCACAGCCTTGGGAGGGCCTTTCCTTCCCAAGGAAGGTGGGAGGAAGGCTAGGGAAGTGAGAGAGAGGCAGGTTGGTGCTTTTGTATGCTATCTCTCGTTTATGAGGGGGATCAGATTGCGCACGCAGGATTGGGGTCCCTTAATTTCGAGTGAGTGTTCCTTTTAACGTGAAGGGTGGGCTCAGCTGTGTGGCACCTGGTGGCGGGCGTTCGTGCTGCCCTGGAAAGGCCAGACTGCCCGAGCAATGCAGGCCCAGCCCACAGCTACCAGAGGGGGAGAGGGGGTGGGCAGTGCTGTCTCTGCTGTGCTGGTGAGGGCCTGACGCCCTGGACCCATGCATAGTGTCATGTCACTTCGTCCCTGTGACGGGAGGACAGTGAGTGTCCAGGCAGAGGGGACAAGTGGGTGTGGGCCCAGGGAGGAGGAGGGGAAGCATGATGAATTTGAGGAGCCAAGCGTAGTCAGACTTCAAGAGAGTTTCAGAGACCGAGTAGAACCCTGGGACATGGGCCAGGTGGTGGGGCTTGGGGCCAGACGGTGGGGCTTGGGGCCAGACGGTGGAGGAGCCAGGATGGGCCTTCAGCTTCTCTCAGCTGGTGGGTGCAAGGCCTGCACCAGGGTGCAGCTAGTGGCACCGCTGGTCTTCAGCCGTGGGCTTGAGAAGAGACTCAGGCGGAGGAGGGCAGCTGGCTGGAAAACTGGCTGGTGCCAGTGGCACAGCTCTGAGGCCCACGTGCTGGTCTCCCACCCCTGCGTTGAAGCCCACAGGGTCCCTATC